CTTGAATCCCCTAGATCTCCTTATGTTGTCTTATTGCTATTGTTAAGACTTCAAGAACTATGTTGAAGAGATATGGAGAGAGTGAACCTAGTCTTGTCTTGCTCCTGATTTTAGTGGAATTGCTTTGAGTTTCTCGCAATTTAATTTGTTGTTAGCTGTTGGCTTGCTGTATATTGCTTTTATTATATTTTGATATGATTCTTGTATCCTTAATCTCTTCAAGATCTTTATCATGAAGGGGTATTGAATTTTGTCAAATGCTTTCTCACCATCTAATGAAATGATCATATGTTTTTTTTTCTTTCAGTTTATTTATATGATGTTATTTATAGATTTTCATATGTTAAACAAGCCCTGCATTGTGGGATGAAACTACTTGATCATGATGGATGATTTTTTGATGTGTTCTTGGATTCTGTTTGCCAGTATTTTATTGAGAATTTTTGCATCCATGTTCATGAGTGAGATTGGTCTGTAATTCCCTTTCTTGGTTGAGTCTTTTTCTGATTTTGGTATCAGGATAACTGTAGCCTCATAAAAGTTTGGCAATGTCCCTTCTGTTTCTATTATGTGGAACACTTTGAGGAGTATAGGTATTAGCTTTTCTTGGATGTTATGGTAAAATTCTGCATTAACACCATCTGGACCTGTTTTTTGGGTTTTTTTTGTTTTGTTTTGTTTTTTGTTAGGAGGTTTTAGATGACAGCTTCTATTTCCTAGCAGCTTATAGGTCTATTTAAATTGCTTACCTGGTCTTGATTTAATTTTGGTATATGGTGTCTATCTAAAAAATTGTCCATTTCTTTTACATTTTACAATTTTGTGGAGTTCAGGTTTCTGTAGTAAGACCTAATGATTCTCTGAATTTCCTCAGTATCTGTTGTTATGTACCCGTTTTCATTTCTGATTTTGTTAATTTGAATGTTCTCACTGCCTTTGATTAGCTTAGATAAAGGATTGTCAATCTTGTTGATTTTTCTCAAAGAAACATCTTTTTGTTTCATTGATTCTTTGTATTGTTTTCTTTGCTTCTATTTTGTTGATTTCAGCCTTCAATTTGATTATTTCCTATCTTCTATTCTTCCTGGGTGAGTCTGCCTCTTTTTGTTTTAGAGCTTTCAGGTGTGCTGTTAAGTCACAAATGTGAGCTTTATCAGCTTTCTTTTGTGAGCACTTAGTGCTATGAACTTTCCCCTAAACACTGCTTTCATAGTGTCCCATAGGTTTGGATATGTTGTGCCTTCATTTTTGTTGAATTCAAGGAGGACTTTAACTTCTTTCTTTATTTCTTCTTTGACCCAGGGATGGTTCAGTAGTTGAATGTTCAATTTCCCTGAATTTGTAGGCTTTCTGGGAGTAGTATTGTTATTGAATTCTATCTTTACTTTGTGGTGATCCAATAAGACACAGTGGATTACTTCAAATTTTTTTTGTATCTGTGAATGTTTGCTTTGTTACTAAGTATGTGACCAATTTTATAGAAGGTTCCATGAGGTGCTGAGAAGAAGATGTGTTCATTTTTGTTTGGGTAGAATGTTCTATAGATGTCTGTTAAGTCCATTTGATTCATTACATCTATTCTCTTATTTCTCTCTATAGTTTCTGTCTGGTTTACCTGTCCATTTGTGAGAGACGAGTATTGAAATCTCCTACTATTAATGTGTGGGGTTTGATGTGTGATTTAAGTTTTAGTAATGTTTCTTTTTCATATGTGGGTGCTTTTGTGTTAGGGTCATAGATATTCCGAATTGAGACTTCATCTTTATGAATTGTTCCTGTTATGAGTACAAAGTGTCTTTTTCCATCTCTTCTGATTGATTTTAGTTTGAAATCAATTGTGTTAGATATTAGTATAGCTACACCCACTTTTTTCTTAGATCCATTTGAATGGAAAACATTTTGTCAACCCTTTACTCTGAGGTAGTGTCTGTCTTTGAGGTCGAGGTGTGTTGCTTGTAAACAGCAGAATGCTGGATCCTGTTTTTATCTTCGTTCTTTTAGCCTATGTATTTTTATAGGTGAATTGAGACCATTGATATTAAGCAATATTAATGATCAGTGGTTGTTTACTCCAGTTATTTTTGTAGTAGTATTTGTGTATTTCACTTCTTTGTGTTATGTTGGTTGGGTATTATCAGACGTCTGTGTTATTGTGGGTGTAGTTGGCTTCTTTGGGTTGAGGTTTTCCTTCTAGTACTTTCTGTAAGGCTGGGTTTGTGGATACGTATTGTTTAAATATGTTTTTGTCATTGAATATCTTGCTTTCTCTATTGATGTTGAATGAAAACTTCGTTGGGTATAGCAGTCTGGGCTTGCATTCATGGTTTCTTAGTGTCTGCAGCATATCTATCTAGGACCTTCTGACTTTAATGGTTTCCACTGAGAATTCAGGTATAATTCTGATAGGTTTAACTTTATATGTTACTTGATTCTTTTCCTTGGAGTTCTCAATATTCTTTATTCCGTGTGTTTTGTGTTTTGATTATTATATGTAGAGGAGATGAATTTTTTTATCCAGTCTATTTGGTGTTCTATAATCTGCTTGTACCTCCATAGCGATATCCTTCTTTATGTTGGGAAAGTTTTCTTCTACAATTTTGTTGAATATATTTTCTGTACCTTTGAGCTGGAGTTCTTTTCATTCTTCTATCCCTACTATTCTTAGCTTTGGTATTTTCATGGTATTCCAGATTTCCTGAATGTTTTGTGTTAAGAATTTGTTGGATTTAATGTTTTTTTTGATTAATGAATCTATTTCCTCAGTAGTATCTCCAGCACTTGAGATTCTTTCTTCTATCATCTGTATTCTGTTGGTTATACTTGTCTCTGTAGTTCCTGTTCTTTTACCTAGATTTTCCATTTCCAGAGTTCCCTCAGTTTGTGTTTTCTTTATTACCTCTATTTCAGTCTTCAAGACTTGAACTGTTTCCATTACCTGTTTGATTGCTTTTTCTTAGTATTCTTGGGTTTGAGAGATTTATTAATTTCTTCTAGCTTCTTTTTGTCTTCTCCTCCATTTCTTTAAGGGGGTTTGTCACTTCCTGTTTAAAGGTCTCCATCATTTTCATAAGGTTTGTTTAAAATCATTTTTTTCTACATCTTCTGGGTTAGGATGATCAAGTCTTCTTGTTGTGTGTCCGCTGGGTTCTGGTGTTACCATGTTGCTTTTTAGGATGTTGGAGAAATTCTTGCATTGGTGCCTACCCATCTCCTCCTTCAAATGAGGCGGTAGTGTTTTGGCTTCTTGACCTAATCCTTGCTGTGGCTGTCTCTTAGGTCCACTCAGTATTAGAGCAGGCTCTTAGGTCCACTCAGTATTGGCGCAGACTGTGTAGCAGGGTTCCACAGAGCTCACAGGGAATGGCGAGTTGGGGCTGGGTGGATTGAGAGCTAGCAGGAAAGCTCTCTGCTGGTGGCTAGAACTGCTGAGGGAACTGGGGAGGGGCCCTGTTTTTTCTCCCATCTGAAGGTCTTAGGGAGTGAGGCATCTGGGACTACAGGGCTGATGCTGACTCACCTCTTAAGTCCACTCAGTATTGGCGCAGGCTGTGTAGCAGGGTTCCACGGAGCTTGCAGGGAACTGCCTTTCATAGTCTTAAAGATACTTTTCATTATGCAAAATTATCTGTCACAGCCATTCTGTTATAAATATGCTACTGTTTAAAACTTCTGATTTCACAAACCCAAAGAATTCTTGTGAGTTCCAGGGAACAGAATTGAAGGATCCAACTTAAACAGGTCAGACACACCCCTCTCAATTACCTGGTCCTAAACTTTTTTTTCCTTAGCTAAACTTTGTCCTCTGTTTTGTCAATACCATAAACAGGTGTAAGAGACATCAGACATTTTCATACCACAAACACTGGGCAGGAGCAAAGAGATCAGTTACACCAGAATGTGATCAGAACCCAGCTTTCTCAAGTTCCCCCACAAGATGATGCCCACAAAGAAGCAGAAAGCTGTCTTAAGAATCTGTCATCCCAATTCCTTTAGTCTGCAGTGCCGAATCTCCTACCTTTTTATTATAAAAAAAAGATATGGGAATGTAATGGTCAGTCCTGCTTCTTTAAGAGACAAGCCCTGCCCAGTCCCCTGTCCACTGCCAACACAGGCAGATCTTTCTTCCCCTTCTATTCTGAGGTTCTTCTTTTCCTTTTTCTCCCAAAGAAGTACTCTCCTCCCCCCACCCGTCCTGGATTTCTCTCTGTCGCTCTCTCTGTCTCTGTCTCTGTCTCTGTCTCTGTCTCTGTCTCTCTCTCTCTCTCTCTCTCTGCCTTCCTCTCTGCTCTTCTCCCCTTCTACCCCCTTTTCCTCTCCACTTTATAACACACTAAATAAATACTCAACTTTCCCTGCATGGCATGCCTATCTGTCTAGGTCTCTGACATGCCATGCAGCTCCCTGCCTAGGACCCATTGCCTCTCAAGGCCCATGGGCTCCTCAGGGAACAGCTCCATCTTAATTTTACTGTTACAGTTAGAGCACAGTAGATTTAGAGTCTTCTCAAACCCCTGGTGCTTATTCTTGAGCTGAAATTTATTAACCTCCTTCACTTGGTGCTAAAATTCACTCACTGTTTCCATGTGCTCAGTCTTGCTTTGTCTTGATTCTGCCATCAAATCAAGAACACCCACTTGTGGCATGTGCATACAAGGTCAAACAAGGACTAGAAAATAGTTTTCTACCCAGAATCAAACATCAAATTATTTAAGCCAGCAAGAGACTGGATTAGTTTTCCATGAGAATTCAGTCTATGATAATATTGAGGTTGTGGTCAGGTGGGAGAAATGTCTATTGCTCATTCACATGTCTTCTCCCTCAGTGATGACAAGCATGGTGCCTAGATTCCCTGTGTGAGTAAGGAAATGTTCACCTTCCTGGTTATATCACAATTTCTGTAGTCCATTCTCAAAATCTCAGGCATGGGTGGCAGTTTCAAGAGAGCACTGAGTGTTGGTGGCAAGCATCATTATAGACGCTTCATTTCTTCTTTCTTCCAGGGGAACTCAGACCTCTACCACCCATGATCTCTGCATCCAACAAAGGTCAGTAACAACTATACAAGGAAAGAAAAGCCAATAATATTCTGCTGGTAGATTATCTGATCTTTGAGAGAAGAGTGGTAAGAAAGGAGGGAGCTTCACTTTGCAAATTTCACCAAGACAGGGAGGAGTAGAGTATGTCCAGGACAGAGTTCCTCTAATACTCCTTGTTGCTTCCCATATGAACAATAACTCCACCTAATCCCATCCTGCACACCCCAGCATGAACCCCTCCTCCTGGTCAGTCAGAGTATCAGACCAATAACTGGTAAAGAAGGTACAGGAAGGTAAAGATATTTTTCAAATGACCTTCCAGATAAAAAGAAAGCCAGGGTGCAGATGAGATTCATGAGAAAAGCAAAAAGCGGGCAAGCAGTGGGAGAGTAAAGGGAGGAGCATTTTATGATCAGTATGAGTCTCACCTTCTCCCCTAGATGCTGCTGCCTTGCTACACTTTGTGGACCAGTATCGAGAGCAGCTGGTGTCCCGAGTGACATCAGTGGACCCTGTCTTGGACAAGCTTCATAGGCTGGTGCTGAGTGAAGAGGAGTATGAGGCAGTGCGAGCTGAAGCCACCAACCAAAACAAGATGCGGAAACTGTTTAGCCTCAGCCGGTCCTGGACCATGGACTGCAAAGATAAAGTCTACCGAGCTCTGGAGGAGACTCATCCTCACCTGATCAGGGACCTTCTGGAAAAGTAACACAGGGTCTCTGTGCAATTCTGACAGCATAGTGGCTGAGTGGTGAGCATTCTCTGTCTCTCTGTCTCTGTCTCTGTCTCTGTCTGTCTCTCTCTCTCTCATCCTAACTCTGTGTAACCTTCTTTTTGCTCTAAGTTTCTCCATCTATATACCAGTGGCCATCTGAGTTCCCTTTCTGATGGCACTGTTACCAAGATATCTTGGGAACCCAGGTGATCCCTCTCATCCTTTCCAGCCAGATATTCTTGTGTTATGAACACCTCAGAAAACTTCTAATGGAGCCATCAAGTCTATTCAGGTCTTGTCTAACTTAGTAGCCAGTCTCAAAACTACCTGACCCACCATGATACAAGCCGGACTGGGGTGCATGGGAATGGACACAATGAGATGGTGCTTTCCATGAAAAGTGAATTCTTATGAATGCAGCAAAGGAAGAATACTTCTCAAATATTTCTTACTTTCACTTTGGGATTTCTTTTTTAATTCTATTTCCATTTAAGGTCTTGAATAGTTTTATTTATTTCTTTTTAAAAAAACTTTTAAATATTTTAATTAAGTGATTATTTTTATTTTTTTGTAATTTTATTAAATTATAAAAGTTTCCATTTCCGCCCCTCCTCTCACCACCCTCCCACTCCCCCCACTTCCTCTCCTCCTCCCTCTCCATCCCTAAGAGCAGTCAGGGTTTCCTGCCCAGTGGGAAGTTCAAGTTTCTCCCCCCTCCTTCCAGGTCCAGGAAGGTGAGTGTCCAGACAGACTGGATCCACAAAATCCAGTATATGCAGAGGAAACAAGTCCCAGTGCCATTGTCAATGGCTTTTCAAAAAGACTCTGGCCAGCCACATTCAGAGAATCCAGCCACATTCAGAGAATCTGATTGACTTGTGTCCTCGTTCAGTCCCAGTCCAACTGGCCTTGGTAAACTCTCATTAGATCCGTACCCTTGTATCAGTGGTGATCACATCCCTCGCAGTCCTTATTTCCTTAATAAATAAATAGTTTTATTTATTTATGTTTGTTTATGAGGCTTTATTTTTTGATTTTTTAATACATTTTTATTGATATTTATTGAGCTCTACGTTTTTTCTCTGCTCCTCTCCCTACCTCTCTCTTCCCCCCTTCAACCCTCCCCCAAGGTCCCCATGTTCCCAGTTTACTCAGGAGATCTTGTCTTTTTCTACTTTCTACTTCCCATGTAGATTATATCTACGTAAGTCTCCCTTAGTGTCCTCATTGTTGTCTAAGTTCTCTGAAGTTGTGGTTTGTAGGCTGGCTTTCTTTACTTTATGTTTAAAAACCACTTATGAGTGAGTACACGTGATGATTGTACTAGCTCCATCCATTTTCCTGCAAAATTCAAGCTTTTGTTATTTTCTTCTGCTGTGTAGTATTCCATTGTGTAAATGTACCACATTTTTCTTATCCATTCTCCAATCGAGAAGTATTTAAGTTCTTTCCAGGTCTGGCTATGACAAACAAAGCTGCTATGAACATAGTTGAGCATATGTTCTTGTGACACAATTGAACATCCTTTGGATATATACCCAAAAGTGGTATTACTGAGTCTTGAGGAAGGTTGTTTCCTAATTTTCTGAGAAATTGCCACACTGACATCCAAAGGGGTTGTACCAGATTGCATTCCCAACAGCAATGCAGAAGTGTTCTCTCTTCCCCATAACCTCTCCAGTATAAGTTGTCATCAGTGTTTTTGATCTTGGCCATTCTTACAGGTGTAAGATGAAATCTCAGAGTTGTTTTGATTTGCATTTCTCTGATGATGAAGGATGTTGAACATTTCCTTAAGTGTCTTTCAGCCATTTTAGATTCCTCTGTTGAGAGTTTTCTGTTTAGGTCTGTACTGCATTTTTTTAAATTGGATTATGTGATCTTTTGGTGTTCAATTTCTTGAGTTCTTTATATATTTTGGAGATCAGACCTCTCTCTGATGTGGGGTTAGTGAAGATCTTTCCTCATTCTGTAGGCTGTTGACCGTCCTTTGCTTTTCCTTTCAGTTTCATTTCATTTCAGTTTCATTTCATTTCAGTTTCATTTCATTTCAGTTTCAGGAGGTCCCATTTATTAATTGTTTCTCTCAGTGTCTGTGCTGCTGGGGTTCTATTTAGGAAGTGGTTCCCTGTGCCAATGCATTCAAGTGTATTTCCCACTTTCTCTTCTATCAGGTTCAGTGTGGTTGGCTTTATGTTGAGGTCTTTGATCCATTTAGACTTGAGTTTTGTGCATGGTGATAGATAAGGTTCTGTTTTTACTCTTCTACATGTTGATATCCAGTTATGCCAGCACGACTTGTTAAATACGCTTTCTTTTTTCCATTTGGTATTTTTTGCTTCTTTATCAAAGATCAGGTGTTCGAAGATGTGTGGATTGATATCCGGGTCTTCGATTTGGTTCCATTGGTCTTCCTGTCTGTTCTTACGCCAATACCAGGCTGTTTTCGGTACTGTAGCTCTGTAGTAGAGTTTGAAATCAGGGATTGTGATACCTCCAGAAGTTCTTTTATTTTACAGGATTGTTTTGGCTATCCTGGGTTTTTTGCTTTTCCATATGAAGTTGAGTATCATTCTTTTGAGGTCTTTGAAGAATTTTGCTGGGATTTTGATGGGCGTTGCATTGAATCTGTAGATTATTTTTGGTAAGATTGCCATTTTTACTATGTTAATTCTGCCTCCCAAGAGCATGGGAGATATTTCCACTTTCTGGTGTCTTCTTCAATTTCTTTCTTCAAAGATTTAAAGTTCTTGTCATATAAGTCTTCCACTTGTTTGTTTAGAGTTACTCCGAGATATTTTATGCTATTTGTGGCTATTGTGAAGGGTGTAGATTCTCTGATTTCTTCCCCAGCCCTTTTATCATCTGTGTACAGGATGGCTGCTGATTGTTTTGAGTTAATCTTGTATCCTGATACATTGCTGAAAGTTTTTATGAGTTGTAGAAGTTCCTTGATAGAATTTTTGGGATCACTTATGTAAGCTATTATATCATCAGCAAACAGTGAGAGTTTGACTTCTTTTCTAATTTGTATCCCCTTTATCTCCCTTTGGTGTCTTATTGCTCTATCTAGGACCTCAAGAATAATATTGAATAAATATGGAAAGAGTGGACAACCTTGTCTTGTTCCTGATTTCAGTAGAGTCGCTGGGAGTTTTTTTCCATTTAGTATGATGTTGGCTGTTAGCTTGCTGTATATTGCCTTAATTATGTTTAGGTTATGTTCCTTGTATCCCTGCTCTCTCCAAGACCTTTATGATGAAGGGATGTTTTATTTTGTCAAATGCTCTATTGGCATCTAATGAGATGATCATGTGGTTTTTATTTTCCAGCTTGTTTATATGGTGGGTTACATTGACAGATTTTCATATGTTGAACCATCCCTGCATCTGTGGGATGAAGCCGACTTGATCATGGTGGATAATGGTTCTGATGTGTTCTTGGATTTGATTTGCTAGTATTTTATTTAGTTTTTTTGCATCAATGATTATGAGTGAGATTGGTCTGTAATTTTCTTTCTTAGTGATGTCTTTCTGTGGCTTGGGTATCAGGTAATTGTAGACTCATAAAAAGAGTTTTAAAATGTTCCCTCTGTTTCTATTGTGTGGAATAATTTGAGGAGTTTTGGTATTAGTTCTTCTTTGGAAATCTTGTAGAATTCTGAGCTGAAACCATCTAGTCCTGGGCTTTTTTTGGTTGGAAGACTTTTGATGACTGTTTCTATTTCTTCAGCAGTTATAGGTCTGTTTAATTTGCTTATCTGGTCTTGATTTAGTTTTGGTAAGTGATATTTATCTAGAAAGTTATCAATTTCCTTTAAGTTTTCCAATTTTGTGGAGTACAGTTTTTCAAACTATGAACTGATGATCCTCTGTATTTCCTCCATGTCTGTTGTTATGTTCCCCTTTTCATTTCTGATTTTGTTAATTTGGATATTTCAAATCAGCCTTTCGGTTAGTTTGGATAAAGGTTTGTCTATTTTGTTGATTTACTCAAAGAACCAACTCTCTATGATTCTTTGTATTGTTTTCTTTGTTTCTATTTTGTTGATTTCAGTTCTCAATTTGATTATTTCCTGCTATCTGGTTCTCTTAGGTGAGTTTGCTTCTTTTTGTTCTAAGTTTCCAAATGTTCTGTTAATTCACTATTGTGGGATTGTTTTCCAGCTTGTTTATGCAGGCATTTAGTGCTATGAACTTTCCTCTTAACACTGCTTTCATTGTGTTCCACAAATTTGGGTATGTCTTGTGATCATTTTCATTGAATTTTAGGAAGTCTTTAATTTCCCCCTTTATTTCTTCCTTGATGAATTGATGATTCAGATGAGTATTGTTTAATTTCTATGTGTTTGTGGGTTTTCTGGAATTAGTATTGTTGTTGACTTGTAGTTTTAAACCATGGTGATCTGATAAGGTACATTGGGTTACTCCAGTTTTTTTGTATTTGTTGAGTTTTGTTTTGTTACCAAGTATGTGGTCATTTTTGAGAAGGTTCCGTGAGGTGCTGACAAGATGGTATATTCTTTTCTATTTGGATGGAATATTCTATAGATGTCTGTTAAGTCAATTTGAGTCATAACCTTTGTTAGTTCTCTTATTTCTCTGTTCATTTTTTGTCTGATTGATCTGTCTAGTGGTGAGAGGGGAGTGTTGAAGTCTCTCACTATTAGTGTGTGGGGTTTAATATATAATTTATGCTTTAGAAGTGTTTCTTTTACATATGAGGGTGCCCTTGTACTGCATAGATATTCAATACTGAAATTTCTTCTTAATGGGTTTTTTCCTGTGACTAATATGAAATAACCTTCTTTGTCTCTTTTGATTGATTTTAGCTTGAAGTCTTTTTTGTTAGATATTAGAATAGCTACACCCACTTGTTTCTTAGGTCCATTTGATTGGTACTTTTTCCCAACCCTTTACTCTGAGATGATGTCTGTCTTTGAGGTTGAGATGTATTTCTTGTATGCAGAAGAAGGATGGATTCTGTTTTCATATCCAATCTGTTAGCCTGTGCCTTTTTATAGGTGAGTTGAGTCCATTTACATTAAGGGATACTAATGACCAGTGGTTGCTATTTCCTGTTAATTTAGTTTTTATGATTGGTGATGTAAATTTGTGCATTTTTTCCTTCTTCTTTGGAATTTGCTGTAATGAGATCATTAATTGTCTGTGTTTTTGTTGGTGTAGCCATCTTCCTTGGGTTGGAGTTTTCATTCTAGTATTTTGTGTTTGTCTGGGTTTCTGGCTAGGTACTGGTGAAATCTAAATTTGTCATGGAATATCTTGTTTTGTTCTTCTATTATGATTGACAGTTTTTCTGGGTATAGTTCTAGGCTGGCATCCTAATGCCAGAGACATCTCTTAATGTCTGCATAACGCTTGACCATGACCTTCTGGCTTACATTGTCTCCAATGAGAAGTCAGGTGTAATTCTAATAGGTCTACCTTTATATGTTACTTGGCCTTTTTTTCTTTGTAGCTCTTAATATTCTTTCTTTACTCTGTATGTTTAGTGTTTTTGATTATTATGTGGTGAGGGAAACTTTTTTGTTGTTGTTCCAGTCTATTTGGTGTTCTGTAAGCTTCTTGTATCTTCATAGGCATATCTTTCTTTAGGTAGGGAAAGTTCTCTTCTTTGATTTTGTTAAATAAATTTTCTGTGCCTTTGAGTGGAACGTCTTCTTCTTCTATACTTATTATTCTAAGATGTGGACTTTTTATGGTGTCCCATATTTCCTGGGCATTTTGTGTTAAGTTTTTATTAAATTTAAT